GAAAAACGCACTCAGCGGTAGAGGATCAAATGTGAGAGAGCGCAGACAAGTAGTGTGTTTGGCTATGCTATGCACTTGTCAGGCAGTGCGGCGGCGCGGGCGGAATATGGAAACGGCACTCGGGTACCACCACTACCCTGTCCGCTTCAAGTGTACTTTTGATTGCAGGAAGTGGGAAGCTTCTATAGCTGCTGGCTTATTCTCCCTAAACACAGCAAGGACCTGGACCCACTGAGGTGAGGATTCAGTGCGTCTTTACCCTAGTCAAACAGAGGCCCATGGTGGCGATCCCGGTCACGAGCGGTTGAGAAGATGGTCACGGATGTTTACCAGTGGGGTCCCCAATACCAGTGTCGATCACGTCACTGAGTGTTGACCAGAAGGATATATTACTTACAGGAATGTTGCGAAGCTTTGAGGGAAAGCTTATCAAATCCAAGCGTAAAAACTCTAGTTGTTTCAAAAATTAACTTACCCCAAATGTGCTTTCGAGTGATTGTTCACCAGGCAAGAAGTAATGCGTAACGAGACATGACGTTCCTTTGATTATTCCCACGTCATACCATTGCTCCTCTTCGGGAGCTTGTTTCACAGCCTGGTAAACAGGCATTCCGTGAGTTCCGGCCGCCGGCGACTCTGTGGCTTCTCGTTTTGCATGTGAATTGAAACTCTGCTCCACTGCTGTTCCCATTTGTTGAGGCGTCTGAGAAGTACTGGGAATGGGCTGTTCGGTTTCCGCACTAAATCCAGCCTGAGAAGGCTGTGGTGCTTGGGCATCAGACGCAGGAGGATCGGCTGGTAACGACGACGACTGAAAAAGGCTGAATCATCCCAAGCGACGACATTAGAGAGAAGAGGAACAGACTCTGGGAAATAGGAATTTTTACCTGGTCTTCAGGTTGCTCGTGATTACTAGACGATTGTCCCTGTGACATTGGGTTCTGAACCGTAGGGTCGTTGACTACACCAGATCCCTCGTCCTGCAATAAGTACTGAAATACGCGAAATCAAGGTGCAGTTTGGGGACGAGGGGGCATTTTGCACTTTTGCTACTTCCCATCGACATGTCGAGAAATCTAGAAACTATTTCATGAGCTACAAGAGTTGACAGGTTTTACCATGGTGGCTCGAGAGCTTGCTCCAGCTTCACAAGAGTTCACAGGTTTCACCAGAGTGAGCCTTGTAGAAGAACTAGTGAAGCGCCAAAGTGCAAAGTGCCCCATCCGAACTGCGCTCGAAATGAAAAACAGCCTTCTACCCCTCATTTCTCTCCAGAAAATAGTCTTCTATTATTCCGCCGAACAAACAATTCAGTCCTTTACCTGAGAAGGTTGTTGAGGTTCCTGAACTTCGCTCAAGTTCTTTCCAGGAGGTTCGCCAACATTTGGTGGTGTGGAATCCTGAGTTGGATCTGTAGGTACCATAGATTGTGATTCGGCTGATCCAGTTGATTCCGATGAACACTGGGGATCTTGTGGTGCTTCCTTAAAACATAGAAGATTTTTAGAAGATTGAAGCATACAATGAAATCATTCATTGTCACTGAGTTTGTACGAAAACGAACTTGGGAAGAAGGCCTTTCTAGGGAAAGCTGCGGATGGTCAGCTTCAGTTGGTAGGGACGGACCAGTGTTTTCGGCGGTACGCTGCTTCGGCGGAGAAGGAGGGGCCTGCTCATCGGCTGGCAGTTCATCGAACAAGTTTTGAGGAAGAGCAGCCTGAAAAGAACTTTTCTTTATTGAAGATAACGTTGAAACAAAACGGAGGCGCTTTCCGTAGCATAGCACACACCTCATCATGTGGACGAGAGCTAGAAGGAGCTGTATACGTCGTGCCTTGTGTGGATATACTTGGCTGCTGATGAGGTGCAATAGGAAGAGAAGCAGGCTGCTCAACTCCAGTTCCCATCGCAGCTGCCCCTCTCGCCAATACAACAGCAGATTGTACCGGGACACCACCTTGCACGTACATCAACCTTAAAACGAGGACTTGTAGATCATTCAAATTTTCAAATGATATGCACGTTAAGGAATTGTGTGCGATCATCTGGAAGAAGAATTCTTGAAGGGGACGGTTAAGAAACTCGCAATTCGCATTAGTCTGTCGATTGGAACACCGGATTTCACGTAGACTAGGACATCGTAGACATCTATTGCCATTTTTGGTTAAACACTGTCTATTGTCGACCTATACAACTAAGAAAGGGGCAGGCAATCGTTCAGCGCCGTGGTGAGCTTTTTCAAATACGATTTTTGCACATGTAGGATCCATACAAGACCACACAGATGGGTTCCATTTGCTAACGCATTGGAATGTCCAAAAAAGGAATAAAAACAAATCGCTTAAAATACGCAAGTTTTATCATCTCATTCGCATCTGTTTCAGCTGTAAAGCAGAATACATAGAGTTTATAAAGTGTTTCTCAACTAGACATGAAAAAGAACATTGAATAAGGTCGAAATTGAAGTGCTTTACTTTGCATACAGTGCGGTACACTGCAGTTTCTTCAGGGTTTATGCAGCATCCCTTCGCGCTCGCAGTGGCCATTTAGCGCCACGCTGGCCCCAGATCACGTCGGCGCCATAAATAATTGTCAGAATCGTGATCAGGGCCATTGATTACCCCTATTTAAGAGGTTTCAGCGAAAAAATTTTTTCCGAGTTTTTTTGGTGGTCATGGGCTTGACCATTTGGATGCAATGGCAGTCGGCCATCCTCCATTGAGTATCCTCTCTGGCAGACGAACCGCCAGAAATTTTTCATTTTTGCCCCTCAACTTCAGTAGGTCTTCAAAGAACATCGTGCTAGCTTCGGAGCCACTAAAAGAACATCCTGGATCTTCTTCACTTTTACCGTCTATGCTTTCGACAAAGAACTCGTTACCACTTGCCTGGAGAAAGGTTTGTTTCTCATACAAACAGTATGAGAGAATGCCGTATGTACTGCGTATTTTCTCTTGTGTAGTTTTTAATTCTGCGTCGCATACTAGCAAATGAAAAGCTTCCTCTTAACGATGTTGGATAACGACTCCTTGGGGGAGGGGGGGCTGATAGCCACTAGCTGGAGACATGGCCGGCAACATAACACAAAAAGCTCGGGAAAATTTTTCTCGGCATAACTCCATACGTAAGGGTGATTGATGGTCCTGATCACGGTTCAGATACTTATTTTTGCTGCGGAGGCCATCTAGCGCCATACTGGCCAGGACCCGCCGCGCAGACTGCCAATGATGGTAGTACGAGAAAGCCTTTGCACCAAATTAGCGACATATTTTGCCATATTCAAAAATGAGTGTCGTGTTCATGAACAGGGCATCGGATAACCGCCGTAACCCAAGTTCATGGAGAGTTTTTCTGATAGGATTTCGCTGAGCCGATAACTGAGCTGAGGCCTTTGAACGTTTCCGCGCCATGGAAAGGTGCTTAATGGCGTATATCCGGGTCATACACATTATGGGGCATAAAGGAATACAAGAGGCAAGAAATGTGAAAAATGCAAAAACTGCGTCGGCAAGGGGATCCGATCCATAAACCCTCCGACCAAGAGCCCGTCGCACTATCCACCACACCATCTGCCACCTCGACCCACGGCGATGCAGGACCTGTTGAAGACGCAGATGACCGGAAAACTCCAATGCAGCTCACCGCATGCCAAGTAGACCATTTGGATTTTGACCTTATTTTGCGCTGTTTTTCATGCCTGCTCAAAGGATACCCTACATACTATACCCTGTCAACGCTACAGCTAGAACAGAGGCGAATAAGGTGGTTTAAAAAGCCCATTCTTTTCGAATTGTTTTTGACCTTTTTTTGACATTCCCAGAACCGTTTAGCAAAAATGAACCCCATCGCTATGGTCCTCGCATGGACCCCTACAACATGCAACAAACCGTTTTGAAAAAGCTCACCACGGCCTGAACGACCTCCCTTGTAAGAAAACACTCCCGCTATTGCGGGCGCGACTGTCGCCGCGACTCACTAGGCGTGGCGTGTGTAAGCACAACCTGTAGCACTATTTGCGTACGCGAAGTAAGCTAGGGCGGCTATTAATAGCTTGGTGCTCTTTTGTACTGTGCCTTTCATAAGTTACGCAACACGGCCACAACCACGCCATACGGGGCAGCCCTTCTCCTGACTATGGTCACATGGCAGGCAATATGGCCTGGCCGCGACATCTCAACGAAAACCTCGCAGAACCACGTTCACATTTGGCGTATCGACACTGCCGATGTCGAGGGGTGGAATACGATGTTTCCCCGAACGTGAGAGGGGGCAGACAAGCAAGGCACGTGTGTATGGCTGTGCGGGTGTTGTGTGTCTATACGGACCGCTCGGCATGTTCGGTTAACACCTCCAGCGTTCAGTTGATACAACAGCTTTCTACAGCAAAGAGAGTATTCTTTTACGGCTGCGACTTGCGCACACCTCCGAGCATGGGAAGGACCCATCTCTCCAGTAAAAGTATAGTGTGCCAGTAAGACAGAATAATGAAGGAAAGTAACAAGTCAAGAAAAGGTTGAAATAATCAGAAGAGTACTAACTTCTGTTGGGCACCTCCTTTCGAGAAGAATATCGCTTTTGGCCTCTGTTCCCTGTTTCACTGCGCTTAACAGCAGCACCAGGTACTCCAGGTACTTGCCTTACAACTCGTACAATCTGTTGTCCTGGTCCTGCACCACGCATGACCTAAAATCACGTCAGTAATATTAGCGCGAATGGTGCTGGCAGAGCACGATCACATTGATAGTTCCTGAGAAGGATGCAGTTTCTGCTGGCCTTGGTGGCGCATCGGATAGTGCAAGCGTCTGACAAGCGTCAGGGGCGGGTTCAAGTCCCGCCTGGGGTCACGACTTTTCGCCCATAACTCAGCATTCTTGTGATAACTTTCGGAAGCGCGAACTGCGGCGTTAAACAGCAGCTATCTAATAATACTTCACGAGAACATGCTGACATAGAAGCACGTGAGTAAGCCGCCGAGAAACGGCTGGCACCTGGAGGAAGAAGAACCAAAATGGTAAGAATACAATTACTTTGTCACTCTGAAGAGAGATAATTTTCGCGGCCAAAATAATATAACTTGTCAATAACCCTGCGCTGTTTCAGTGGTGTCAAAAATGAATAGATGAGGCGGAAGCGAACTGCCTATAACGCTCAGCCACTTGCGACCTTCCTTCAGAAAAGTATCAAATTTCAATAAGATTTCACCACCCCACAAATACTCCTGAGAGGGGACCTTGAACTTATCCAAAATGACTTTCTGCCGATAAGTCCATTATGCAGTCGGGAAATATAACTGGCTATTTCGATGTAATGAAAGCTCATCATAGGAAAAGCAAATCACTACTCAAGACTTTGAACTCATCGGAAAGTGCTAACCTTCATGACACCAGACGGTGTTCCTCTCTGCAACATCATCTTTTGCGACGACAATGGCCCCTTGCCAAGTGAGGTGAGTTGTCGAGAAGCTGAGAGAACGAAGACTGAGAAAATTAGGTGTGAGAATGAATTGAAAACCATTAGGCTATACCGTCGTCATCCAATATTTTGTGAGCAGGTAGAATAGAATCATACTTGTGCAGCTGAAGCAGATATGCTTCAGCAGTTGGTAGAGCGCTCCATGAGACCTGAATAATAGTTGAAAGTCGGAATGCCCACCAGTAGTGGTAGAGTAAGCCTTATCCTCTGATAAGCTTAGTGGATTCCAAAAGGCTTTTGAGCAGAAAATGATCAAACCTCGAGTCCAGCAACACTCGCTCGTACCAGCTGAACGCGGGATGGTGTTCCCGGTACAGACGTCTCCAAATACCACATATCTTTACAGCACACCTGCAAAGCCACTTTGAAAATAATGAAGACAGGAATTACAGTTTCTTCCGATTAAAGATATACGTGTGTGCACAATAGGTGTAGGAACAGGATTTTCTATAATCACAAACATGCCGGGCTTTTGGGAAACGATGTGGCGCTTTGGTCATGAATGAACTCCTCATGATAAGAAATGTTTGAACGTTGTGTGTATGGCTTGTGACGTGATATGGTGGGTATCGCGTATCACTAATGTTGGGTGAAGATGTATAGAACATGAAGCTACCACACGCCTCTAGTTCCACTGTTGCGCAATTTTCGTGTGGTGGTTATGCCACAAAACTACTGCTGCGGTCCTACCCTTCCGAACTCACGGGAAACTAGTCACTCTCTCAAAGAAGCGAACATCGTGCCTTGATTGGGCCACCGCTTCAAAAGCCAACTTATTTGGTCCTACAGTGACCATGCAAATGTCCGTTTGGCTTCATAAAGCAGTTCCCCCCCCCCGGCAAAAAACAACCAAGCGACCGATCACGAATAATACATTTAGAAAAACTCGATTGAAACGCGTGTTCTTTCAACGAGCACAAAACCGAGCCCATCAACACCTGATTCCCCAACTAAAACATTCTAGACATTGGAGTTTGTTCTTGTCTCAAAATACTTATAGTCTGCAGACTTTGGTGGAAAGAATTCCATTGAACAAAGAACAAGAAGAGTACGGTAAAAACCTGATTATTCCATGCTTTCCGATATCCGTCCCTTCCTGACCATATATAAATCCTATCATTTATCACAGCAGAGCAGTGCCCTGCTCTAGCTCTTGGCATATTTTCTGAAAACCGACTATAAGTCTAGAAATTCAGGTCAACAACAACTAACAGGTCCATACCATCAAAAACATGTGAGGCACTTTCCCAGACCATTGTCTCAAGGTTGAGGCATGACAGGTCACTTGTACATTTCCATTCCTTTACTTCACCTTCATGGTTTTCGTCATGCATTGGAACCTAGACAGACTGCATTACCTTAACCGAGCAATAATTTTGGATATCGAGCAACAGCATGCCTACCCAGCCACCGTAGATATACATCCTTTGACCTATCAGATTAGCTGTGTGCAGAGAACGTGGCATAGGAGCTATTCCACCGATCTGAAAGAAGAATT